GAGACGGCGGAGTCCGGTGGTGAAGGAAGACGGCGGCCATAGCCGCGGAGCATTGACACAGAGTACCGGAGGAGAGAGAAAGGGAGGACAGAGAAGGAGGGACTGAGGAGAGAAAAGAAGAAGAGTGGAAGGAGGAGATTGAGGAAGAAGACAGACATAGCCGGGGGTGAACAAAAAAAAGAAAAAAAGAAATAGAGAAGAAGAAAGAAGGTGAAGGAAGGAGGAGTGGACGGCGAGGGTGACGAAAGTGAAGGTGCCGGCAGCCATAGCGGAGGTGAGGTGTTGACCAAGCGTTGACTGGGGGTTGCTCGCGTTGACTCGGTGTTGACCAAGGCGTTGACCGAAGTTGCTGCTGACCAAGATTTTGACCAAGCTGGAGTTGGTGATACCTCGTTGACCCCTCAGCCTATCCCCTTACCCTGTGGATGTGCACATCCCTACGGTACTTGCTGAATTGAGTCTGTATGTCTTCCGTTCTGCATTGAGTCTCTTCTGTCCTAGGTGTTAGGACTCTGTGGATGAAGGATAGGGCCTTGCTGCCAATCCTGCACGGGACTTAGTAGGACCAAAGCTCTACTCTGGCACTTGGAAACCTGGGCATGAGCGGCGAGCGCTCGTTAAACAACTCGTCTAGCCCAATGACCGGTACTGTCCGGCAGGTCTACTGAGTTCAGTGTAGAGGGTCTGAACTCCGAGCTGTGGGCTGAAACAAGGGYCGTCTTTAAGTATTGAGGCCTGGTTGAGCCACTCCCCTACCGGACCTAGTAAGGCTGATGATCTGTGTCTGACGACTCGACTGTCCCGAGGGATACGAACCCCTCCAAGGACCGGTACAGACCGGCGGGCTGCTTGGTGTGGCACAGTAGGCCGGAACGGCTGAGTTGCGGGCTGAAATCGTCAGAGGAACCAAGCTGATCGCGTCGTCCTGTTTGCGACGTTAAAGAATTCTTGCGGAGTTTGGGGGATCTCCTTAAATGCCTCCTGATCAGCTCTTGGCTCTGTAGTGACCGCCTTATAGTAGTCTTGGGTTAGTAGTGGCTATAGTTGACAGGGTCTTATCCTGTGGTCCTTAGGAAGTCAGTCAGTAGGTTAGTGTGTCCGGGTAGGGCTACGTGGTGAGGAGTGGGACCCTTGTCGTGCACCAACACCACGATGGACGACTACCTGATGTAAGGGTTGCTGGTTGGGTTCTCCCTCTGGGGGACCCTCTGGCGTCTCCTCTTTCCTCTGGGATTTTGGCATACCTTTGCGTGTAGAGTAGGGCCCACTCGAGGTGGTACCGCCACCCAACCGTACACGAAGGAGGAGGAGGAGAAGATGGGCGTCATCCTGCAGGAGAGGAAGGAGAAGAAGGAGGCCAAGAAGAAGGCCTTGAAAGAGGAACAGGCGGCCAAACTAAAGAAGATGGAAGAAGAGATGGTCAGGGAGAAAGAGAGGTTGAAAAAGGAAGAAGAAGAGAAGTTGAAGGAGGTGGATGAAGAAGAGGAAGTACCGCCACTGCAAAAGAGTGGGCAGCACAGCGGCAGCAGCAGTGATGAGATGAAGAAGAAGATTACGGAGTGGGTCGCCAACTTATCCCTGGGTGAGGAGGAAGAGGTTGCTATGTACATCCCCAAGGATGAGCAAGAAGCCGCCGTGAAGAAATGGGAAGCAGAAGAAGATGTTCTGACGCGGCAGGCGATGGAGGATGAACAGAGGATGGCGTGGAGTGATGAGGGAGAAGAAGAGAAGAGTGGAGGCGACGAATGCAGCAATGCAAGAACTAGCTGAGGTGAGGACTGCCTTAACAACACAATTGACTCCGCAAGTAGATCTCCAACGCAAAGTGGAGATCATCGCCCAGAGCGTTGACCGGTTAGCTAAAGTGCAAGAAAAGCACTATGAGTTTAGTCACAGTCAGGAGATATCCGTGCGTTCGATGCGAACGGGATTACGGGATTTTGCTCGCAAACTAGTAGGCGCTGTGGGATCCGAGGTGAGTCATCGCCTCGAGAAGACTGAGCGTTTTTATGTCGGCGCCATTGAAGGCGTCAAGGTGGCCTCTCCCAAGGAGGAGGAGGCCCGTCCTCGCAGGGAGCCAGTCAAAGTCAAATTCCCCGATTCCTACAGTGGGAAAAGGGAAGAGAACTTTGACAATTGGGAGGCCAATGTTAAGACCTATGTGCATTTGCAACAGGTCTCCCCGGATCAGCAGGTCTTAATTGCGATCCATGCACTTAGAGACGAGGCCGCCAGTTTCGCGAGATCCCTTAATCGTGCTGCCAACTGTAGTGACGATCCAGTTGCGTACTCCTCGTTTACGTCCCTCATTGAATTCTTGAAGCTGCTGCGCGAGCGATTCGTTGATGTTGCCCATAGTGTCAAAGCCTCAGATAGGCTTCAGACAATACACTCGCGCCAATGGAAGAGTGCAAGGGCACTCAAGGGCACAATGGATGAGTTGGTGGCTATTCCTGACCACAAGGTCACGGAAACCCAGTTGGTCAACCTTTTCAACCGGGATATGGCCGAAACGCTGCGTGGTCACTTCTTTGACAAGAGTCCGGACCCTGCTATGACTTATGATATACTTAGCAGGGAAGTGGTCGCGTTCGAGGCGAAGTGTGCGTCGATTTCCACCTTCAGGCACAAAGATTTAGACAAGGGCAAAAAGTGGAAGGGCTGCACTATCTCAAGGCAAGTCAAGACCAAGGATAGCCTTGTGCTCACTTTAGATGAGGGTAGTGTGGACGAGATCCCCTACGACCAGATCTAGTGGGGGTTCGAGGAGGAGGACAGTACTGTGGGCCAGGGGAGGACTTACGCTGCTGTCGCGGATGGAAGGAGGCCGCAAGGAGGACGAGGCCAAGGCCAAGGGGGCCGGGCCTCAAAGAGCCGGTTCCAGGGCGATCAGGGGTTTGGCGGCAGAGGAGGGAACTGCCAAGCGGGAGGCAGGGGTCAAGGTCCCCGCAAAACCGTCCTAGGAACAGGTCTCCCTACAGAGTAGGAGGATGGCACCCAGGGCTACCTCAGGGTAGGCCGTGGGAATCTTTGGGTCTGGACCAGGCTTTATGGCAACAACGATTGAACCGGGGCCAGTGCATTTTCTGCGGCGACCCTGGGCATATCATCAAAGATTGTCCTAAGTATCGAGAGACCCGAACAGCTGCTCAAGAGCCAAAAGGCAGCCGCCGGTAGGGGTAGCAACTGCCCCTACCACTAAGTCATGTGGGGAAAATAGCGCTTACCGGCAGGAGACTCCCACACCATATGTGCCTACGGCAGAGGTTGCAGGCCGGTGTCTAGACAGCTGTCTCGAGACTGCTTGTGTTAGAGTTTCGCAAGACACCTCCCTCAGAGGCGTGGCGGAAGAGTTGAAGGAGAGGAGGCCCGCCTGGGCCAAGATGAAGAAGGAGAATAAAGGGCAGCTGATTTTATTAGATGCAGAGATTTTTAGAAGTAGAGTAGGGGCCCTAGTAGACTCAGGGGCCACCCGCAGCTATATTAATAAGCAAGCGCTGCAGAAGTTGAGGCTGGGACTTAAGGTCAAGAAACTGACAGACCCCATAGTTAGTATCCTTGCGGACAGTCGTATCATGGTTGTAGAGGATTACGTAGAGGGAGTTCAGGCGTATTTCCGCCTAGAGAAAGATGGGAAGGTGGAGAAGGTCCTCCACTCCCTGACTCTCCTCGTAGAGGACAGCCTCCCGTTTGATACAGTACTGGGAATGGATTGGGGAGAGGCAGCCGGGGTAACGCTCCATCTGATGGAGCACGACTGTAGACTCCCTAGTTTTGCACGCGAGGCTAAGACTGCCCGCCTGTTTCATGTGTCAGGAGTAGAGAATTCCTTGGCACATTGCTGCCTTAGTGCCCTTGCGTTCGCCAGATTGGTGAAGAAGGAGAAATTAGAGGAACAGGTCTTTGTTTCCTATGTTAGGCCCCACTGAGCCTATGGAAGAGAAGTCGATGGACCCTGCGATTGCCAAGCTGCTGGAGGAGTTTAAGGATTTGACTGAGCCGCCGACAGGCACAGTGCCGCGGCCCATCCAGCACCGTATCGAGATAGAGCCTGACAGTAGAACTCCTAAGGGTGCTGTGTATAGGATGTCCCCGCGGGAGTTAGAGGAGCTTCGCAAGCAAGTAGACGAGCTCCTCGAGAAGGGTTTTATTAGGCCCAGTTCGTCTCCTTTCGGAGCGCCTGTTCTCTTTGTTCCTAAAAAAGAGGGAGAGCTGAGAATATGCATAGACTATAGGGGTCTGAATGCTATTATAGTAAAGAATGCTAAGCCACTACCTAGGATCGACGATCTCTTAGATCGAATGCAGGGGGCTAAGTATTTCTCTAAGATAGACTTAAAGTTTGGATATCATCAGATAGAGGTACACCCTGATGATCAGTATAAGACAGCCTTCCGGACTAGGTACGGGCATTATGAGTTTATAGTGATGCCCTTTGGACTAACCAATGCCCCAACAACTTTTCAGCGGTGTATGAATGATTTGTTTAGGCCGTGGTTAGACAGATTCGTTGTAGTTTATCTACATGACATCCTAGTGTTTAGCCGGACCCTCGACGAGCATCAGGGTCATCTCAGGCAAGTCTTGGAGAAGCTGAGAGAAGCTAACTTCAAGATCAATGCAAAGAAGTGCGATTGGGYGAAGACCCAAGTTTWGTATCTAGGCCACGTCTTAGACGGAKAYGGYATTAAGCCCRAAGATAGCAAGATCGCAGCGATTAGAGATTGGCCCACGCCACGTACGCTGACAGAGTTGCGCTCGTTCCTGGGCTTAGCGAATTACTACAGGAAGTTCGCAAGGAACTTCTCCACCATCGCTGCGCCCCTTCGCAGATTGCTGAGAAAAGAGACAATATGGAAGTGAGACAAGGACTGCACGTCCGCCATGAAGAAGCTAAAGCAGGCATTGATAGAGTATCCGGTCCTTAAGGTCGCCGATCCGTCCTTGCCTTTTGTTGTTACTACGGATGCTAGCCAGTACGGCATAGGCGCAGTGTTGCAGCAAGACGATGGCAATGGCTATAGACCCGTAGAGTTGATGTCCGCTAGGATGCCTTCAGAGAAGGTTGTGACATCTACCTATGAGAGAGAGCTCTACGCTCTCTGGCAAGCATTAGACCACTGGAAACACTACTTGCTTGGGAGGCACTTCAAAGTCTATTCGGACCATGAAACATTACGGTGGTTAAAGACCCAGGCCAAGATGACACCTAAGCTTACTAGGTGGACCGCAGAGATAGATCAGTACGACTTCGAGCTCAAGCCTGTCAAAGGGAAGTACAACGTAGTCGCGGATGCTCTGAGTAGGAGGGCAGATTACTTTGGGGCGATAGTGCATTACCTCGATATAGGGAAGGACCTACAGCAGAAGGTTAGAGAAGCCTACGCGCAGGACCCTATCTATACCGAGCTCCTCGCGCGAGTCAGGGAGGCCCCAGAGACCGAACCTAACTACCGCACTACAGAAGGGCTGCTTTTTGAGAAGACTAACATGTTTGACCGCCTGTGCATCCCCAATAGCGAAGAGATCCGCAGTTTGATCCTGGGAGAATGCCATGATACAGAGGGTCATTTCGGTTGGCAAAAGACTTTAGCCAATCTCATGCGCGTGTATACCTGGCCAGGAATGACGAATGACTGCGTAGAGTATGTTCGCAGTTGCAAAGTCTGCCAGCGTAACAAGAGTTCTACACGCGCCCCGCTAGGTCTTCTCAGACCCTTGCCCATTCCGCATCAGCAGGGAGACTCAGTGTCCATATACTTCATGGACACTCAAGTGAAGAGTAGGCATGGCAAGAGCCAAGTCATGGTCATAGTTGATCGTTTAGTAAGTACGCAGTTTTTGTTCCTTTGCCTTCTGAGGCGCGTACTGATTTAGTCATACAAAGGTTTTTTGACTGTTGGGTTAGTGAGAATGGAATCCCGCTGTGAATAGTTAGCGATAAAGATAGTCACTTTACTAGCCAGAACTGGCAAGAACTCATGGGAGTGTACGGATCTAAGTTGTTGATGTCGTCCGGCCGTCATCTAGAGACTAACGGTCAGACATGGCAAATGAACAAGATCCTACAGCAAGTTCTGCGSATGTATATTAGGCCAGATCAKATTAACTGGGATGAGATGTTGCCCAAAGTAGCTAGTGCGTATAATAATAGCGTGCATCTGTCTACATGCCGCACTCCCAACGAACTGCACAAGTCCTTTAGACCGCGCAGACCGTTTGAGGGACTCAACTGGGATCAAATTCACAGATTGCCGCCTGGGACCCGGGAGTTCGCTGTACAGCACGAGAAAGAACTAGCTATTGTTGCAGAAATTCTCAGGAAAGCCCAGCATAGGATGATAGAACAAGCAAACAAACATCGTCCCCCTTCACAGTTTCAAGTAGGCGACTTAGTCTGGGTTAGTTCTAAAGAGTTTGCGCCGGAGGAGAACATCTCGCAGAAGTTACTGCCCACATATCGAGGACCGTGGCCTGTTCTGGAAGTCAAGGGTGGCGAAGATGGACCGTCCTATACAATAGAACTACCAGCACACCTCCACGCGTATCCAGTTTTCCACGCATCGAAGTTGCTACCTTGTCAAACAAGTGATCAGTTTCCATCCCGTAGATCGATGATCCCACCTGATATGGATGGAAGATATGACATAGATGGTATAGTGGCTGAAGATGTCTTCAGAACTGGAGGCAGGGGTCGTCCGCAGAAACAATACAAGGTTCATTTTAGTTATCAGGAACCGGAAGACGACCGCTGGTTTACAAGATCTGAACTTCTAGAGACAGCTCCCTATATAGTCCGGGCTTACGAAAGACAGCAGAAAGGTAAAGGTCCTGCCTTGGACTGAAATTTTCTCGGAGGACCCCGAATTTAGGCCGGCAGGAGTGAAACGGTATTCACCAGTTCGCGGTAGCGAATGCAGATCCCAGGGCTCGATCCCTAGATCCCCGTCTTACCTGTGTACAGTATCAGTGTCAACCCGTAGACTTGAACCTGCGACCTGTAGGAACGCCAATGGTAGGCAATTTGTCGTAGGTCACAGGGTAGAAGGGAATCGATCTGTAGACCTATAGATTAGGAGTCTAGACAGTTCCGAAGTGGTAGCTGTAGGCTGCTTGAGGAGTCAAGGTCGTAGCTGCTACTTACCTGAAAGGGCAAAGTCGTAGCTGCTACAGTACCGAAGGGCCAACGTAGAGGTTTCTAGAACTGGCCTTTCGGAGTTGGCCTGTGTCCAGCAGAGGCAAGTGGTCAAGTGGTGGTAGTCCACCTAGCCCAGTCAGCAGTCCCAGGTAGCCCAGTCCGGTCCAGTCAAGCAAGTACCATCTGGGACTGTGCACATCATGGGCCAAGGGGTAGAGGGCAGACCAACGCAGCGCAGAAGTATAAATCAAAAGGTTGCGTCCAGCCATTCATTCATTCCTGCGGATGCCATGCGGAAGCGCTGCCTCAGCAGCTTGTGCGAGGAGGTCTGCAGTGTGCCCGAAGACGAAGTGGGCAGTGAAGTGTAGTGTAGCGATAGGGTAGTGGCAGCTAGCGCTGCCATAGCCATAGCCTAGTGTGTGTGTGTTGTGTATGAACACTTAGTGTTGCGTGTGGGACATCCAGGGTGATCCAGAGTGCGAACAGTGAGTTGTGTGGGCGCTCAGTCGCCATAGCCAGTTTGAAGAGAACTCCTACCTGGTTACGATATCTTTGAGTACTGTGTGGGCGCATGTCGCCAGTTTGCTGTTTCCCTGTTCGCGTGCATGATAAGTGTGAAGAAGTCGAGTCTGATTGCAAGTACACTGATGTCACCTCTGAGAATCGAATGAGCATCGTATCAATTGTAATCTTCATCAGATTATTTGTTTGGAGTGGCAGAAGTGTGTTAACAGTGTTGTAGAGGCTACCGGAGTTTTGTGGTTTGAACAGCAATGGGGTTCATGTTCAGTTCCGGTCCCTTTTTTTGCCTGAACTCATGATTGACTTCCTTTTGGCTGTCTTCATTTCTTTGAAATTTTTATTGTCCTTTAGTTTTTAGTTAGGGAAATTTTCGAAATGCCCCTCAGAAATCCATTTATTTGCGGCATGCCCCTCCGACGGCCGACTTACCCTGTTGTGCCCCTGGGGCCTCTGAAGTTTCCCGCAGGCCCCAGCCAGCGAGGGGCACAACTTTCAGGGACACCCTTACCGGACTGCTGGTCCCATTTTTGTGTTGGCTGTCTGCTATGCCCTCCTGCCAGGGATGCATCTTTGTGAGATGCCCTTCAGCAGGGAGGCGCTACCTGTTTT